GTTTTCCTAGAGGCGCCTCGGTGGTCTTAAACTGCACACCTAAACACACGTAATATATTATAAATTATCTATTATGGCTGCAGCAATAAACCGCGGAGACGACATTTGCCTAAACCACGTGGCGCTTAATCCAACAGTCGTCGAACCGCTTTACCGAGTACCTACTACACACGTGCCGATTATAGATTCATATTTTATTTACAAGTTTACTACCATCCGACCGTAAAATTACCGGCTACGGGCCATATAGTGTTATACATTATGCAACAATATAGGTAAAACAGCTACTTTTGGCACCTCTGCGTTTTCCCATTCGACCGAACGGGTATATTATGTATACGACCGCGTTCACGATATTTGTGTGACAATAATAATTATTACCTCTGCCGCGTATAGTTATGCAATTGTAGGTAGGTGACTATATTATACATTATAATAATATATACAACGAACCAATTTTCGTTTGTTTGAAAATCGATCAATTAATGCGTTTTCCTACACACACACACACACACACACACACACACACACACACACACACACATACCTACATGTTTGGGTAGGTGGTACTTACAATAATATAGCGTGTTGATGTTATACGGCGACCTGATTTCGCACCTGCAGCCGAGACTAACCAAAATAATAATAACAATAATGTATAGCTTTTTCGTAAAACTGCACTTTGGTACCACATAATATACGTTATTTTCCATGATAATATATAAATTATAATATATTATTATTTATTATATTAGGTAGGTAGTGTACAAAGCTGGGGGCACTAACTAGTTAGAAAGTTAAAGTTAAGTTAGAAAGTTACTTTTTAAGTAACTTTTAACTTGACTAGTTAGTTTTAATTCATATTAACTTTGTAACTTAACTAGTTGAATTTAATGTGTAAAATAGTCTAATCTAACTAGTTGGAAAGAAAACTAACTAGTTATTTTTATTATTGTTATTATTATTATTTTTTCATTCCAAAATTCCAAAAGCTGTTCCTCAATCATGACATTATGGCTATATGCCTATATAGATTATTGGCTCATATTATTAATTATTAGTATTTATAATAATGCACACACAGGAACCACGGCTTTTCCGAGTAGGTAGTCTGTATAATGTTGGTATCAACTAGATATAAATATTATCTATACGGGTGGCTTAACCAATTCCTTGTGAATATTCAAACACTTCTCCTTAACTACCACTAACAATATTTTCTGAAGAAATACAAAAACTGTATATTAAGTATAATATAAGTATTCCTTCCAGTGCTCAAGTCGAGAGACTTTTTAGTGCAGAAGAAGGAGGCCAATTATTCGATGAAAGGCATGTGTCTATGTCTGATGATAACTTTGAAATGTCACTTTTGTTAAAATTTAACAAATATTTTGAATAAAATATACTAGAATATAGTCATATAGATTTTATTATTTACTATTATTTATTATTTAATATTAATATTTGTATACTAATTTACTATTATATAACTAATTTTAAGTTTATACTGTTATATATTTTTTTTATTTTGTTTCACACTTTATGTTCTAATAACTGATCAGTGATATACCAATAATTCATTTCCAATTAATTGCAATTATTACTTACCTGATTAGAACATTTTGATAAAATTACTAGGTGTTTAATTCAATTTTTCAGTTTTAATCAATAATTTAAGTTAGATAACTTATTATTTAATTTTCAACAAAAAAAATGTTTTTTAGTCTATAAGAAAAAACTAACTTCTATCTTCTACTCTAACTGAAGTTACTATTTTCACCAAACCAACTTATAACTAACTAAGTTAGAAATTTGAACAGTTTCTAACTTATATTGTAACTTAGTTAGTTTTTTTACTAAAGTAACTCAACTTCAACTAGTCGAAAAAAAATGACTAACTCGCCCAGGTTTGGTAGTATAGAGATACTGTTATTATATCAGCGGTCACACATATTATACGCGATCCGAAATGTGAACGTTACAATAACAATAATAATATTATAATTGATAATATTATACTCGGAACCGCTTCTCGAGCTTATAAAATAATAATATGTACTATGTTTAATTTATGTGTATAATTTTTTTTTAATTTCTCGATGAAAGCCGTTCGTACCTATTATGCGAGCACTACGATAGTGATACGTTATCAAAAAAAAAAAAAAAATATGCAAATCTGTTCGTTTCTGCAATTGAATCGCCGCCTCACGACGTACATCCGGTTCCGCGACGCCGAGTGCTCCGATAACGTGAACGCGATTTAAATGTATTATAATAATATATGTACAACATTTTAGCCTCACATAAAAGATATACGTGGACGGTTTTGTGCAAATTTTGAGAGAAATAAAATTACAACTCTCGATGACGGTTCTACCTATAGGTAGTAAAATATAATTAATAGGTATTTGAAGAGCGCTTTCGATGCGATTTACTGCTGTTGTAGATGTCTGGCGTACCATTATAATATCATTACCGTGCTATTCCAATATTACCTACAACTACTGTGCAGTAGAATAATATAACATTGCGGTTGTTGCGCCATCACGGTATCATAATATATAGGTAATGTAAATATGGAATAAAACGTTCGGAGCTGCAGCTGAAAACGGTGAAAACGACTCCGCGAACGTAGCCGGCGCGTGCGAAGACTATAACACTGTACCGACTGTACCAATAATGTTTATCCTCGTTTATTAATATTATGATTCTTGCTGACACAGAATAATAAATTCGTAAAACAATATATTTTTCTGAAAAAATAACACATATGTATTAGAGTTACGGTGGAATGGCTTTAGCTATACTACTTCGTACATAGAACGTTAATAATACATTAATATTATTATAAACATATATATAAAAAGCGAGGTATACCTACGTATCCACTTTTCCTGGAAAACACATCAACGCTTTTGCATGATAAATAGCAGACATCTCGACACTTCATACACCTATAAAAAGTATAAATAAAGGCCATGACTCTCGCAGAAAATTAGTAATGACAACTATACTGCATTGTCGCATAGTATTATATAAATACATTTCATATATTATTATAGTGTTTGCGAGTGAATTTATACTGTACAATTTCACGAAAAAAAGTAAATTTACTGGGAAAAAAATTGAGTGGGATATTTTTATTTGGTAACATTATCACTATAATACGCAATTAATACGATATTAACCGATTATAAGCTGCATCCAGATAACACGATATAACACTATGTCATAATAACAATATGACAAATCCATTTTCATCAAAAATCCCTGCTTAAAAAATAATTGATAAAGAAAAAAAAATGATGACTGATGAGTATCTCCTTGCAAGAACGAGACAGATCCCATAACTCATAAAGGAAATAATGCACTATTGGACCTATTTGGATTTTTATTTTCTGGTGGAGAACCAGCTGATAACTCAAAGATAATACTATAATGAATACTAAGTTCTGATCAAAACACAAGATGGCTCCAAAAATTAAAACTGTTTTATTTTTATTTTCTGAAAAGTTTTGAAAAATGGAATTGTCTGATTTTTCAAACGGACCCTTTCTCATGTATTCAATATTCTTAATGCACTCCAATCACAGCTGACAATGCATGGATATTATATTGTATGCGAATATGCAATGAACAATACTGTAGTTTCATATTCACAACAATTATGGCTATTAATATTATAATATTAATCAACCAATTTTAGGTAGGTACGATAGGTAGTTACCGCACATTTGGTAAAATGCACATAATCGGTAGGGAACTCGTTTGCCTCGTCCATCAACCGCGTGGCCTATAAATAAGAGTATTGGCGAGTTTCGTTTAAATGATAATAATATATGCACATAAGTAACATAATATGGTTTCATTGTTCCGAAGAGCTTTGACTCCCGCCCATTTTCATCAAAAATCCCGCTTAGTAATAATGTTGATAAAGAAAAAAAATGATCTTCTTGCAAGAACGAGACAGATCCCATAACTCATAAAGGAAATATAATGCACTATTGGACCTATTTGGATTTTTTATTTTCTATTGAAGAACCAGCTGATAACTCAAAGATAATACTATAATGAATACTAAGTTCTGATCAAAACACAAGATAGCTCCAAAAATTAAAACAAAAAAAAATGTATTCAATATTCTCAATGCACTCCAATCACAGCTGACAGCGTGTAGATATTATATTCGTCTGTGTATGCGAATATGCAATGAACAATACTGTAGTTTCATATTCACAACAATTATGCTTATTAATATTATACCTAATGATAATCAACCAATTTTAGGTAGGTATAATAGGTAGTTACCACACATTTGGTAAAATGCACATAATCGGTAGGGAACTCGTTTGCCGTCGTCCGACAACCGCGTGGCCTATAAATAAGAGTATTGGCGAGTTTCGTTTAAATTATAATATATGCACATAAGTAACACAATATGGTTTCATTGTTCCGAAGAGCTTTGACTCCCACCCAAGCACGTCCCCATGTGGGCACCTGCCTGTCAACGTTAAACTGACCCCGGTGCAGTGCAACGGTTCGAACGTGCTCATATCAGCTGCCAGTTATTGTTTGTATAGCACCGGGTCGGTGTGTGTGTGTGTGCGTAAAAATAAATTAATAACAATAACGTGATAATAATATTTGACAAAAAACCCATCGTAGTCGGTGCATTTGAACAAACAGGTCGGCTCGAGAGCGCGTGCGCGACACCCACACACGTCGAAGTGAACGCGCGTTAAACACAGTACACTATGTCGTCGTTAAACGGTGGTCCAACGCACACGTCGTAATATTGTTATTATTTAAACGCGAAACTGTTATTATATTAATATTAAAATTATTACCTGCCGAACAGTAATAATATTGTCATCATGCTGGTACCCGGCGAACTTCCTGCGGCTACCCGCGGGTCACCGACTCCGTACCCGCCGCAGTCGTGAGTGTGACGGCGATCCCCGAGGGGGCACCCACCGACCGACGACCTGTTGGACTCGGCGATGACCGCCACCCGATACTTTACCGTGGACTCGGTGGTCCAACCGGTACAGCCGGCAGCCTCCAGCTCGGCCGCGACGACTGCAGACTCCTCCGCCGCCGCAGCTCATCCGAGCGCCGGACGCGGCGGTATCGTGCAGGTCGTGGCCGGTTATAACCGCGATCGTGACCAAACCGATACCGCGACCGCGTCCTCGCTCCAGCCCGCCGCGGACCATCGGCCGACGTCCGTCGATCACCTTCCTGTAAGTACATAAATTCATGCTGCATCGTGTGTGCAGCGCATTCACGGGTACCCTAACCCTGGTGGTCTACGAGGGGCCAACAGTTAAGTCCCCGGGAAACTTGTCCAGCTGCACGTTGTACACCCGATAACAGTGGCGTTTATACAAATTATTTTCACTATGGGCCAATTTATCAGCAGTCAGCTAGCACGACTATAACATAGCCATAACTATACATTTTTTAAGGAGATGGGTGGTTATAAATACAAATAAAAATTGTGCGATTAAACTTTATGATTATAATGTAAATTTCATTTAAAAAAAAAATTTACAATTTCATACATACATAATATATATTTTAATGTTATCTTATTGTGAATTTAACACATAAAAGTCATCAAAGCAAGTCCTGACAATCTAACATTTCCTTGTTGATTCCTCCTAACGATTTTAATCATGGTGAAAAACTGTAAACAGTGTAGATATACATGAAATGGTTTAATTGAACCTGCAATTTCACTATGGGCTCTGGCCTAGGGGGGCTCCCCCCTATATACGCCACTGCCCGATAATAATAACTTAAGAAGACGCTACCCATACATGTGTTATCTCCGTCTTACACACGCACGACATAGCAAATTGTCGTTCACTAGTTATTTCAATAGTATGCAGTTAGTTTTAGAGTGAATTGACCTATTATAACATGTTTAGATAATAACATTATATGTGCTTAAGCGTTGGCTTTTATTCGATATTTTAATTTTCAAGCGAAATATGAGCATTTTAAATTTTTGATATTTCACGTACACACATCTTACTTGAAAATGAAAATATTTAAAAATCGCCAACGCTCAAGCACAGATAATATTCTTACCTAATAGTATGATAATAGGTCAATTCACTCTAATATTAAAACTAAAAACACACTATTTAAACTAGCGAATGGAAATTTCGTATGTCGTGAGTGTGTAAGACGGAGACAACAAATACATGGGTAGCGTCATCTTAAGCTGTCCGGCGCGCCATCCGAAAGCATTTTTTTGCCTATAAGCATTATTGTCTGATTTTATTATCATTGTTTTTTTATTAAAAACAGACTGCAGCGGAACAACGGATTGTATTGTGTTTTAACGCTAAATTTTTAGATTTCACAATTTGTCGGTTTATAACATTATAAATAATTTATAAATACAATTTGTTACAATTAATGTGATATTTTTTATACTAAAACTATTATATTACTAATACCTGCAGGGTGTCCGAGCATGTTAAGTGGGGTCGGTCATATTTTTTTTTACCATCTCATAAGGGTTTAGTAATATTTAACTTTTTTTAAACTTCTGCAAACATCTTAATTGAATCGCCTTGAAGAATTGATTTTCTGGTTTACGTATATCCACGGGTTTACCAAGCTAAAGGCACCAGCTGAGTCAATAAATAAAATATATATTGTAGGGCTGACACGATATTATAAACACATATTACAGTATATGTATATCGTATGATATTATGTTAAGCACGCCTCAGACGTAATTTCGTTGTGTGATGTGACAATTTTATGACGAGACGAGTTACGTGTGCCTCCATCTTACTAGTTTAGTACGTTAAAGACTCGACTTAATAGTGTTGAAGTGCTTTAAATGATACGTCGTTCAACCGAGTCGTGGAAATTTAATTTAGTTGGCACATTATCGATGAGATCGTTTTTCCATCTTTAACACTACAAAGTTTCCATAAACATATTAACTAGAACATAATATATCATGAAATGTGAATAATGGATGAATTTCTCGACGACTGCTGGTGTTGTATCACGTGATATAGACGCAGAACATAAATTCATGAAAATGCCATTTATAATTCTGCGATTCAGCTATTAATCCTATGCATTGAGCGATTTCAATACAAATAATATATATCTTAACATTTTAAACCATTATCAAGCATAGAAATGTTAAGTTAATTTAACTACAACGAGTGTCAATTATTTATCTACGTTCTACACATCTGAACGTCGTTTTTTCGCTAAGGCTCATTAACTCGTTTTCTGGTTGTTATATCACGTATTTATTATTCAAACTCACAAGGTTAAAACAACAACAAATTATTTTAAATAAACCTATTTCTATTGAAATGAAAAGTGTAATATTGTGCTCGAAATAACTTTTATATGATACGATGTACCTAGTCAATTTATTGGACTGGTGAATTAACTACTCGTTAAATCTATCTTCATTCTTCACATAATACTCTTTGTATGTATTTTTATAGTGTTACCGTTACTTATATATAATATAGTTAATATTATTGTTACTCGAGGGTAATATTGTGTTATCGTAGTACAAAAATAAATTTACAACCATCTAATAGCATGGGTCGTTTTACGAACGCTTAAAATTTGATCGATTTTTGTTAGGTCACAGCTAGGTTTACCAAATTAGTGGGACCATGTTAAACAGAATTTGTGTTATTACTTTTTCAGTCTTATCGTTTCAATACAAAGTTTACTTACTCGTATAGACGTATATAATAATATATATATATATATTTTGATCGATGCAATTTTATTACCCGAAGTCTGTTGGGGCGACGCGTTCGCCGGAATTCGTCTCGGCACGCTTGTTATTCGGATCGAACATATTATGCATATTTTTTCCGTCTACCTTTATGAGAAAAAATTCAATAATATTATTAATAATACGCTCGATGCTATTTATCCGTTCCACAATAAATTGTGTCTGCCTGTATACAATACATATAGTGTTAGGATTAGTATAGGTACAGGCACTCGAATATAGAAAATGTGAAACGGCGCACAGAAGCGAAACGAGTTTTGGTTTTTATATTACAGCTGCTTTTTTGAAAGACACCGATTTCCGGCGAATATTATTATTTGGCGAAAATGTAAATAATAAAGCCGGAGAAACATAATCGCTCAACTTTTAGGAAACGCTCCGCGTTTCTCCTCCGAAGGTTTGGATTGCAAACTTCTCAAATCTAATAAAATTTAAACTTCTATATTATCATACACGTTTTCTATGCCCCCCCCCCACCACCCTGCAAACCACCGACACCGTTTAATTATTCAAGTGCAGCCGTTTCCACTGGCAACGTGGATTTACTCGACCATTTCTTGTTTTTTTTATTTTTTAATCAAATTACTTAAGTGTAGTCATAATAATACCTATAATACGTACGAGATATCAAATTAAAAATTCTTCGCATTTTTATTTTTTTATTTTATGCGAATCTTCATAACACGTGTCACATCAACACGACAGCGACCCAAAAACGTCTATTCGATCGCGACGAAAAAACATAATGGGGACATGAAAATGTTCATATGTTTGACTAAACGTCATATATATTATGAGAAATAATTTGAGTTTTCAATCCAAAAATGTTGACACAAAATATTATTCTTCAGCACATACTCGCTGCTTAATATAACTCTTACAAACCAGAGATATACCTGCAGAGGTATTCAAACTGTGCGTCCAGTGGTGACGTCGAGAGAGTTGGCGAAGGGAGCCCCGTCAAAGCACCGGAATTAATGTAGGTCATGTGTGATATTAATATATAAATATTATTTATAATCATTAATGCGATTATGGAAATGATAGTGAAAAACATTACTGTTTTAAGTTTTGTTTCTAAATAGTCACTGTTATTATCACGCACATTGGCCATATTGATTATCCATAAAGTTTCGATTTTTTAATAACAATTTGGGAGACGTAAGAATGTCGTGAACACACAAATAGGAGCCGCCTCAGCGGGATGAAAAAGTTTGAATACCTCTGGTAATAAACAAAGTTTCGGTATACAACTTGTTTAAGTTCCTTCGACGAATGTATTACAAATTTAAAATATATAACAGTACAAGACTTTAATAATACGTAATGGCAAAACGACCACATTATCGCCGTAAGCAGCCAAAAATATAATATATAATTATTTAGTCTTATCAATGTTTGGGGTTAAACATTATTGTAGAATGTTACGCATTTCCATAAACCGTCTAAAAGCATAGCAATGCTGTAAAGTGTGAATAAATAATAACGACGTAATAACTAATAAGAGAGCAATGTAAGCAATGTAAGCAATAAATTCTTAACGTTGTCGTAGCTGCAAAGTCATTCATTTGATCTTCTTAGCGAGCGTTTCGGTATATTTTTGTATTTATAAATACTTGAACTTGCTGAATAATATTATACATACACGCTCGCATACCCGTTGAACAAACAAGTTGACTGGTATGTAAATTGAACATCATAAAAACAAAGGTTTTACATAATATCAAATATGTTAAAGTATACATTTTTTTTTGTTTTGGTGGTTTAATAATTAATACAAGTGTACCAGCGTGAATGGTAAAAGTTTCTTGTTTATGACTTTGTGTAGCAATAAAACTAAAAATGTACTAAACACTGGAATGTCATAATTTATTATTATAATATTAACAATAGTACATCTTCTATAAAACATAAACATCTGTTGTACAAACGATGCAATTAATTTTAATCAGAACAATCAGAGTTAAAAACAAAAGAGGAAGTATCTGTACATGATGACTTCCATGATTCGTTGACATATGCGTATGTTCGTATTATCCTATGTAAGTGTCCCAAAAATAATAAAATTGAACGGCTGATAATATAAGTATAATAAAAAGTCACAATTAGGTATGAAATTCTCGATATAATGTTTATAATAAATAACAATATCAATTATAAATTTTATGAATTATACAGCGAACTCGTAACAGTCCTTATTATTGTAACTCGAAAATAATAATAAGCATTTAAACGGGTAAGTAAATAACCCTAAAAACAACTATACTTTTTTCTCGTTAGTATTTTTTAACTCTTTTTTTGTTTTAAAAAAAGTCGCAAATATTTTCTCTTGATACTTAGTACCTACCTATATTCATTATTCATAATTGAAACGGAAAACTTTTATTTCAAACCGTATTATTATTTCACTATCCTATATAGCACTTTTCGCCTTGTATTTTTTTC